ATTATTCTTTTCCAGTGCGGCAATGTAAGCATAAGTGGAACCATCTACTGGTTTTTTGGTTTTGAATATGGTCCTTGGCGTTGGTTTGGGTGCTGCTCTTGAGTTCTGGTTGGCTTCTAGTTTGGTTTCTTTGGACGTTTCTTCGTTTCTTCTTCATGGTAACATTGTGGAGGTGGGGTCCCTCGATTGTTTCAAGCGCGGGTTGGACAAGTATATGAGTGGGATTGGGTGGTTATAAATAGGAGCTGCCTCGTGTGGGCCAACAGGCCTTCTGCAGTTGCCTTTGTTCTTATGTTCTTATGTTCTTATGGTTCTTCTTCGTTTGTTTGCCTTTCCGTTGCCTACAAGTTGCTACGGTGCTTCCTTTAGGGTTGGGTCGTCTTCAGCAATTTTCCTTGCTCTTGCTACTAGATCACTGTGTCCTTCTGACGTTAATAATTCAAGAAGGATGGTTAGGAAAGTCATATCCTGAGGAGACATGGTTACACTGTACTAAAAGAGTAACTGAGGGAGTGACTGTAACTGTGTACTGCTACACTCAGCGACTAGCGTGTTGTCGCTGAGTCGACCGATATGAAGAAAAATTAACAAAGCTTAAATTGCATTTACTGGCAAGGCGAAGAGTTAAGGGTGACATGATAGAGGTTTACAAGTGGATTAATGGACATAACAAAGGGGATATTAATAGGGTATTAAAAATATCAACACAAGACAGAACACAATACAATGGGTATAAATTGGATAAATTTAGATTTAGAAAGACTTGGGTAAATACTGGTTTGGTAACAGGGTTGTTAATTTGTGGAACCAATTACCGCGTAACGTGGTGGAGGTGGGGTCCCTCGATTGTTTGAAGCACTGGTTGGACATGTATATGAGTGGGATTGGGTGGTTATAGAAAGGAGCTGCCTCGTATGGGCCAACAGGCTTTCTGCAGTTACCTTTGTTCTTATGTTCTTATGAGCGTCAGGTCCCCTATGCATCACAGTAGGGGGGTCCCCTATGCATCACAGTAGGGGGGTGCTCTGTGCTTCACAGTATTAGTGTGTTTCAATTTTCCATGGATATGATACCAACATCAAATCATATATCAGACGTCACCCTATCCCCACTGGATTTTGAAGAAGCCATAGACAGTATGCCTATGCACTCTGCACCAGGCCCTGATTCTTGGAACTCTATATTCATCAAGAACTGTAAAAAAAACACTACCGCAGACCCTTCACATTCTTTGTAGACAAAGCCTAGATAATGACGTTATCCCTGACATACTGAAAACAGCAGAGATAGCACCACTCCATAAAAGAGGAAATAAGGCAGAGGCAAAATATTACAGACCGACTGCACTAACATCACACATCATAAAGATCTTTGAAAGAGTGCTAAGAAATAAGAACACAAAACACATGGAATCACAGCATCTCCATAACCCTGGACAACATGTTTTCAGAACAGGGCGCTCTTGCCTGTCACAGTTGCTGGACCACTATGATATGGCCTAAGTTGCCATGGAAGACAAGCAAAACGCTGATGTAATTTACACAGATTTTGCAAAAGCCTTTGACAAATGTGACCATGATGTTATTGCACACAAAATGCGTTCAAAAGGAATTACCAGAAAAATAGGCAGATGGATCTATAATTTCCTGACTAACAGAACCCAATGTGTAATAGTCAACAAAATGAAATCCGGTCCATCAACCGTGAAGAGCTCAGTCCCCCAGGGTACTGAGCTTGTTCCAGTACTTTTTCTCATCCTCATATCTGACATAGATAAGGACACAATCTATAGTACTGCATCATACTTTGCAGATGACACTAGGATTTTTATGAGAGTAGACAACATAGAGGACGCAGCAAACCTCCAATCAGATGTAGATCAGGTCTTTCAATGGGTTAAAGAAAATAATATGGTATTTAATGAAGATAAGTTCCAGCTCATGCGCTACGGAAGAAATGAAAATGTAAAAAGAGAGACCCGTACAAAACTCAGTCAAATCATAACATAGAACGAAAAGGTAATGTAAAGGATCTAGGTGTACTCATGTCGGAAGACCTTACCTTTAAAGAACACGATAAAGTAGCCGTCACAACTGCAAGAAAAATGACAGGTTGGATAACAAGAACCTTTCAAACTAAAAATACACTACCAATGATGATACTTTTCAAGACGCTAGTGCTTTCTAGAGTGGAGTACTGCTGCACAATGACAGCCCCTTTCAAAGCTGGAGAAATTGCTGACCTGGAGAGCGTGCAGAGATCCTTTACTGCTAGAATCCACTCAGTAAAACATCTAAACTACTGGGACCGACTAAAGAGCCTAAATCTGCATTCTCTTGAGCGCAGGCGGGAAAGATACATAATAATTTACACGTGGAAATTAGTAGAGGGGCTGGTCCCAAACCTGCACACAGAAATAACACCAAATGAGACCAGAAGGCATGGCAGGATGTGCAGAATACCCCCGTTGAAGAGCAGAGGTGCAACAGGTACTCTGAGAGAGAACTCTATCAACATCAGAGGCCCGAGACTGTTCAACACGCTTCCACTACACATAAGGGGCATAACTGGCCGACCCCTCACAGTGTTCAAGAGAGAACTTGACAAACACCTACAAAGGATACCTAATCAATCAGGCTATGAATCATACGTCAGGCAGCGAGCAGCCGCGTCCAACAGACTGGTTGACCAGTCCAGAAACTAGGCCCGGTCGAGGACCGGACCGCAGGGACATGGAGTCCCGAAATCATCGCAATGTAACTCAAGGTATGGTGACCCTGGGCGACAAAGCAGGCGACCCTGGGAGACAAAGTAGGGGACTTTGGATTATTTCCCTAGGCCTCTTCCTATATTGAACCCGTTTTCATGTATTTTCCTCTCTGACCCTCTCACAATTTCTGTTGAACCAATCCTATTTTCTGGTCCTGCATCTCCGTTTTGGTATGAATGTTTGTGTGCGTCCAGCCCAACCACTTGGGCTGGACGGTAGAGCGACGGTTTGGCTTCATGCAATTCGGCGCTCAATCCCCGACCGTCCAAGTGGTTGGGCACCATTCCTTCCCCCCCCCCCGTCCCATCCCTAATCCTTAACCTGACCCCTTCCAAGTGCTATATAGTCGCAAGGGCTTAGCGCTTTCCCCAGACAATTCCCTTCCCTTCCTTGTGTGCCTTCATCGTATATTTCGCAAAATTTGGCATACATCTCATTTACTTCCTTGCCTGGCAACAAGTCTGTCTAATTAAGCTGCAGTATTAAAAGTTATGACAAGTTTTGTAATAATAGGTATTTGTATGGTCAGCACAGTAATCGGACCAGGCAATGTGATGTAGTCATTGCGCGAATTCGCCTTGGCTATAGACACATCTGGCAGGTTAGTGAGGCTGAGCCACTACCAGAATACTCAGATTGTAAACTCTGTGATAAACCTTTAATGCATTCACTAGAACACTATATTGATGAATGTGAAACCGTAAAGGACTTTAGACCTCCTGGCCTATTGTACCACCAACTGTGTAACTATTTTATTGACTCAGGTGTTCTGGACGACATCCTAACAATTTATCCAAAATTTGCTTGTCCATTTTAAAGAATGAAGAACAATTTTTATTTACATTACTTCTAAGTTGCATCACTTATGAACCTATCCCTGCCCTTGTGTGGCAGTGCACAGTAGAAAGTTGTTTTCACATATCCATACATTAAAACATTGATTGTAACCATGATATATGTGCTTCAGCCTACAGTTTAGACCTATTGTCTTATGTATGACCCTCTGTCCTGCGTGACAGGGAATACCAGCATTATCCTCAATTTAATAAGACTATCAAAATCCTCAGATTAGGCAAAATTGTAATTAATTTTGTCAATAAAGATGTTAATAATAATAATAATTAAACTCATTAGGCAAATTTTAATGTTCCCCATAGTGTCCTTTCTTGAAATCGAGTTTATCAACTGTTTCAATGTCTCCATTCTCTTTTAAATTATATTGCAAAACATACTTTATTTCCAAGAGGACATGATCACTCTTTCCCAAGGAAGGAAGGAAGGAAGGAAGGAAGGAAGGAAGGAAGGAAGGAAGGAAGGAAGGAAGGAAGGAAGGAAGGAAGGAAGGAAGGAAGGAAGGAAGGAAGGAAGGAAGGAAGGAAGGAAGGTACTGGGTGTCAAATATCTCTTATTCTTTCCTGCTGAATATTAGATCCCGTTTTGACAGAACTTTCCCTTTCCTCATTCTTGTGGCCTGCTTGACGTGTTGATACATGAATGAGTTTTAGTGTGTGTGTGTGTGTGTGTGTGTGTGTGTGTGTGTGTGTGTGTGTGTGTGTGTGTGTGTGTGTGTGTGTGTGTGTGTGTGTGTGTGTGTGTGTGTGTGTGTTAGGTATACCCCAGCCAGGTTCTAGTGATCTGAATGTGTTAATCACACTGGATCATTAACGCAGCGAGCTATTTCAGCTATGAGAAAATTACCATAGGTGATACGAAGTTCATCATGACCGATGGTGTGGTGGTTAGAACACTCCCCCTACACAATTTATTCAATTTATTCTACACAAATTATTTATTCTACACAAATTATTCAATTCAACACAATTTATACTTTCATCTCAATTAGTATTAAGTTTTAGTCTTAGTGCTTTTCCTGCCCGAAACACTTTGCGTAATAGTGGCTTTAGGCATTGTATGTACTAGCTCTATCTATAAATCCATCAACTTTTGTATTTCACCTTGTATGTATGTACTTTACCTGAATAAATATGTGTATTTGTATTTGTATTTGTAAGCTAGAGGACCTGAGTTTGAACCCTACGCATGGTATGACAAGGCACCTCCACTCCGACACTGAAATCTGCCGAGGATGTAAATATAATGGGCAGGCCGTGCTCTAGGGAACTACAGCCGTGACTGACCTAACAGGCTCCAGCATCTGGCCTAAATACCAACACAAATAAACAAATCCCATAAAACAAAGAAGGTTTAAAACAAGGAGTGAATTACTTACTCGTTGGATGGCGAGAGGTTTCTTGTAGTCTGCCCCGCCATGGAGACGGAACCCCCAGGGGATGGACTCGTCTGAGCGCTGCAGGAGGATGTTGAGCAGCTTAGCCATCCTACAGCACAATGTGCTTGTGCCTGTCTGCCTCGCCCCGCTGCACAGTTCACTCTCACACACCCACACCAACACCAGTCCAGGTCGTCTGCGCCCTAACACACCACAGATATTTCCACTGAATTTCCTTTACACTTCATGTATATTCTAGTGGTTCTAGGCCTCCCAGATACTTCCTCACGGTTGTTGCCAACTCCACAAAAAACAGTCACTATAATTTAAGTAATTATGTATAGCGATATGAGTTTTCCTTCTCATTAATCACCAATATTCACGTTTTTTTTATATTTTCATAAAGACGACTATGCTAGGCCGTAAGCCTAACCAGGAGAGCGTAGGAGCCTCCGCTACAATGCACGTTAGCCACTCTCACCTTGACGCCCAGAAGCCGTTCACCATTCTATATATCCCACAGTAATTAGTTCACTAGAGCGTGTGTTTCATTGGTAGTGAGGTAGAGTAGGCAGCCTGCACTCGGGGTGAGCGAGCACTGAGTGGCAGTGACTGATCACACACCTCGCTAGCTTGGCCTCACTGTCAACAAGTATACTGTGCTGATGTAAGCCTCCCGCTCTCTTAGTGAACCGTGGCACTCTGCCAGTGTGGCTACCCCAGTCAGGTGTGTGTGTGTGTGTGTGTGTGTGTGTGTGTGTGTGTGTGTGTGTGTGTGTGTGTGTGTGTGTGTGTGTGTGTGTGTGTGTGTGTGTGTGTGTGTGTGTGTGTGTGTGTGTGTGTGTGTGTGTGTGTGTGTGTGTGTGTGTGTGTGTGTGTGTGTGTGTGTGTGTGTGTGTGTGTGTGTGTGTGTGTGTGTGTGTGTGTGTGTGTGTGTGTGTGTGTGTGTGCGTGCGTGCGTGCGTGCGTGCGTGCGTGCATGCGTGCGTGCGTGCGTGCGTGCGTGCGTGCATGCGGGCGAGCGTGTGTGTGTACTCACCTATTTGTGTTTGAGGGAACGAGCTTCGGCTCTTTGGTCCCGCCTCTCAACTGTCAATCAACTGGTGTACAGGTTCCTGAGCCTACTGAGCTCTATCATATATCTACATTTGAAACTGTGTATGGAGTCAGCCTCCACCACATCACTGCCTAATGCATTCCATTTACTAACTACTCTGACACTGACAACGTTCTTTCTAATGTCCCTGTGGCTCATTTTGGGTACTCAGTGTTCACCTGTGTCCCCTTGTGCGAGTAACACCCATGTTAAATAGATTGTCTTTATCTACCCTATCAATTCCCCTGAGAATTTTATATATGGTAATCATGTTTACCCTAACTCTTCTGTCTTCCAACAAGGTGAGGTTCAATTTACGAACCTTTCCTCGTATAGTTCTGGAACTAGTCTAGTGACACCTTTGAACCTTCTCAACTTCGTCTTATGTTTGAATAGATTTTGACTTCACGCTAAAGCAGTGTACTCGAGGATTGGTCTGACGTACGTGATATACAAGGCTAGGAATGATTTCTGACATAAATTTCTAAAGGCAGTTCTGATCTTAGCCAGCCTCGCATGATGATATGATCTGGATGTGGGTTTCAGGAGACAGGTTCAGTGTGATGTAAACCCCTATATCCTCTCTGTCCGTTTCATGAAGGACTTCATTTCCCATTTAGTACCATGAGTCCGGACTCCTGTTTCCTCCACCTAACTTCATTAATCTACGTTTGCCTGAGTTAAACTCTAGTAGCCATTTATTAGACAATACTTTCAGTTTGTCCAGGTCATCTTTTACCCTTTTGCTGTTTTTCTCTATCTTAATCCTCCTCATAATTTTCCCATCGTCAGCAAACATTCACAGAAATGAGTCTATTTCCTCTGAAAAATCTTTTTCATACACGAGAAAAAGGATAGGTCCAAGAACTGAACCTGTAGGACTCTGCTAGTGACCTCGTGCCACTCTGAGATCTCACCCCTCGCAGTGACTCGCTCAGGGGTGGAGTACCTTCCCTGTCATTCCTTCCTGCTTCTTCAACTTATGCACTAGTATCTCATGGGGACAAAGTCTTTATGGCAATACAAAAATATACAGTCTGCCCACCCTTCTCGTTCTTGTCTAATTTTTTGTTGCCTGGTCATAGAATTCTATCAATCCTCTGCTCTCTCGTCTTCTTTTATTCCTGTAGTTTCTACATGTTCTTGTATATAGTTGCTTTGCCATCTTACATCTCTGATCAAACCATCGATTCACCCTTTGTATTCCCTTTTTTTCCTTTAAGACTGTGACAAACTTGTCTGGTGCTTCCTGACACTTTTGGGTGATGAAGTTCATCATGTTTTGTGCAGCCTTTCCTCTCTCCTCTGAGCTCTGTTAACCATGGTAATTCTATTGGGAATTTTATTATCTCCTCGTAATTTGCCTTTCGGTATGTCAGCCTTTTGTTTTCTGGTCCCTTCCTTCAGTAAATTGTCTCTACTTCCACCGGATATTTAAACATCAATAGACTGTGATAAATCATTCCCAAGGGGGCTTCCAAAATCATTTCCCATATGTCTGCCTCGTTCAATATGAATACCAGGTCAAGTCTAGTAGGTTCGTCATTATCTCTCATTTTTTAGGGTTCCCTGACATGTTGGTTTAAAAAGTTTCTTGTTGCCACGTCCAATAGTTTAGCTCTCCATGTTTCTGTGCCCCCATGTGGTGCCTTGCACTCCCAGTCTATCTTTCCAGGGCTCAAATCTCCCGTGATTAGAAGTCGGGATCAGTTCCTAGAGGCGACAGAGGCTGCCCTTTCCATTATGGTAGCAACTACCATGTTGTTTCTCGCATACTTCTCTCTTGGTCTTCTGTCATTTAATGAAAGGTTATATCACTGCACGACTATCTTTGGTCTTCCCACTGTCATGGTGACAGTTTTATAGTCTCTGAACCTTTTGCAGACTGATAAAATACCTCCATACCCCCCCCCCTCTCTTTCTCTCTCTCTCTTTCAGTCTCAGAAAATGTATTAACGTAAGCCAAGTGGATTCACTTTCACGGCTTTCGAGTAAACCATGAAAGTGTATGGGTAAAGAAAGCGAGTAAGCCTCAAAACTTTCTGGAAAAAAGATGCCCGATTATATTTCAGACTTCATGAAAATCGCAGGAGATCCCTGTCGATGCTGATATTTCTTAATGCATTGCGCATGGGCCGACCTCAGCTGGTCTATAACACATAAACCACATGTTTCATGTATAGAGGATGGGTGAGACTAGCCCCAAGCGTCTGGTCTTGTATTTCGGACAGACAGAGACAGACAGACAGACAGACAGACAGACAGACAGACAGACAGACAGACAGACAGACAGACAGACAGACAGACAGACAGACAGACAGACAGTCTGTGTTATAACTGTAGATGAAGGAAATGTTTAGATATGCTAGTGAACGCAGCGTTTGGGCAACCTGCATCTCCTGATAATAAACTACGCACATAAGACAAAGCCAAGATAGTGGTGAAGCAGCGCTGGCTTACATTCCTGTCTCGACTAATTAAGTAACTATTTCACTGAGTGTGAAGGTGGGCGGGTGCCCCGTGCTGCTGCTGCTGCTGCTGCTGTTGTGTACGTGTTCCTCACCAGGATATGTATAACAATGATGCAACACTGTAAAACACAATAGCACCCGAGAGGGACGAGGCAAAGCCAGCGGGTTATCGAAGAAATAGCAGTCATTACTACATATAGTAAACGCTTCAACTGACAATACCAAAACCTTCAACCGTGCATTACATTACTCGGTTACTATAGTGAGGTGATCGACATATATAATGAGGAACCAGCTAGGGAAGAGCTGGCGTGTGTGTCGATCATCTGGTCACCATTTGGTCCGGGAGACATCTCCCGTCACGCAGGATGCAGTCGCACCTCCACAGATCTCCAGTATCATCTATTGATACTGGTGATGGCTCAAAAGGGTCACCACTTACGAGCTATTTATGCCCGTGCCACCTTTTGGGTGGCTTCATCTTCATCTTAACACATTCACAAGGGAGACATCTCCCGTCATGCAGGGTGCATTCGCACCGCCACAGATCTCCAGTATCAGCTCCTGATACTGGTAATGGCTTAAAATGGCCACCACTTACGGGCTATTTATGCCCGTGCCACCTTTTGGGTGGCTTCATCTTCATCTTAACACATTCATAAGGGAGACATCTCCCGTCATGCAGGGTGCATTCGCACCTCCACAGATCTCCAGTATCAGCTCCTGATACTGGTAATGGCTTAAAAGGGCCACCACTTACGGGCTATTCATGCCCGTGCCACCTTTTGGGTGGCTTAATCTTCATCAATCAATCAATCAGGGAAGAGCTTGACGGGCTATTCATGCCCGCACCACCTCTTGGGTGGCTTAATATTCATCATCAATAGTGGAAAAGCAGTTACAGCCCCGCTTCTTTGCCAGGTCAGTCCACTACGGGTTCACCATAACCCGTGCTACTTGCAACTTTTGGTTCCCAGTTGCTGAATTTAAGGACAAGAAAAGTCCTTACAGGCCATTCATGCCCGTGCCACCTTTTGGGTGACTTAATCTTTATCAGTCATAAGAACATAATAATCATGATAACTAGGCCTACTGGCCCATACGAGGCAGCTCCTATTTATATATACCCAATCTCATTCACATATGTCTAACCTACGCTTGAAACAATCAAGGTATCCTACATCCATTATGTTACGCGGTAATTGGTTCCAGAAATCAACAACCCTGTTACGGAACCACAGCGCTCTGAGGTCCTCGGCAGGTCAGACAGCTGTTTTCTCAGAGGAACTATGGGAAAGTAATGACAGTACTAAGAAATTTGTCTTGGTAGCGAAAATTCCTCTTAGGAGATGTCTCCGCCAACTACCTGATTTAAAGAGGATACTGGTCATGAATCAGCTAACGAATCCAACTTATCCACAGGCTAAGCTTGTCAAACCCATCCACAGACTAAGCTTGTCCTACCCATCCACAGACTAAACTTGTTCAACCCATCCACAGACTAAACTTGTCCTACCCATCCACAGACTAAACTTGTCCTACCCATCCACAGACTAAGCTTGTCCTACCCATCCACAGACTAAACTTGTCCTACCCATCCACAGGCTAAACTTGTCCTACCCATCCACAGGCTAAACTTGTCCTACCCATCCACAGACTAAACTTGTCCTACCCATCCACAGACTAAACTTGTCCTACCCATCCACAGGCTAAACTTGTCCTACCCATCCACAGACTAAACTTGTCCTACCCATCCACAGACTAAACTTGTCCTACCCATCCACAGACTAAACTTGTCCTACCCATCCACAGACTAAACTTGTCCTACCCATCCACAGACTAAACTTGTCCTACCCATCCACAGACTAAACTTGTCCTACCCATCCACAGGCTAAACTTGTCCTACCCATCCACAGACTAAACTTGTTCAACCCATCCACAGGTTAAACCGGGAAACACAAGCAGTATTTCAGGATTGACCTTATGATAATCGCACGGGCTAGGGGGCAGCGGTTAGATGCCGATATTTCTAAAAGTGTGGCACTGGAGTCGACCCCGACTAACCTATGACACTCCCATACCCCACATGCTTCATGTG